ATAATTTTTTGTTTGGAATTAGTAGACTTTTGAAGCAAAATGAAGAAGGCAGTGAAAACAACATACTTTCTAAAGAGAATAAAAAATAATTGTGCAATAACATCAACGCAATTTAGCAATCTTAAATCTACCGGTGGTACAATACCCAGATTATACGGCTTACCAAACCTACATAAGGTTGGATTACCTAATCGTTTCATTCTAGATATGGCTGGAATGGAACAATATTGTGGATCGAAACCACCACTCTACGGTGTCCTCCTTGCTACAAGAAATAATGGTTTGATTTAAAAGTCATTAAACAGAAAAACTACATGAAACCGACAACTGACAAATATTCACAGTTGGGTTTTGATAACGAAAATATAAAATATCATTGAGTTCCTACGCTCACGATATTGTTATTATTCACTAGACCGCCCAGATAATGAACTATTCATTTTAAAATCCACCTTCCTAGAAAATGCATACCCGTTGAGGTTTATCGGGTAAAAGATGAAAAGGGAAACGGCCTTCAGAGACTAAATATACTGTCCATTAACGAACTCTTTTTGTACGTCTTCAGTTGAGGAGAGATATTCTAGTAACATACTAAAAGCCGTCTGAAGATGTTAGTTCGAAAGACATCTATTATAGCAAATCTTCGTGAAACTTATCATAGTTATTCTCTTATATATCTTTGTGTGAAATATAACTTGTCATGACTAACAAATTTAATATAAAAAAAATCAGTTCACTTGTACCCGTGGAGTTGAGTGAGTATATAGATCGTTCGTCGAGGCCACCCCTTCATCGCATTTGAGAACATCTACCAATGTAGGTTACCAGAGGAAAACCGGCCAAACATATCACCTATTCCACAGCATGCAATAGATACAAAGTATTCCGTATCATTCTATGGTATCATTTATAATATCCAGTATGCTTAAACCTACTTTATATTACAGAACCTTTGGCCATCAATAATTTAAAATCCCAGTTGTGTGTAAGGAAACAATTTCTTAAACTATCCTCCTTACCACTATTTTATTTTATTTTCTCTCGTTTATTATAATATCCCACTTCTACATTTACAAAAAGTGGTTATAGTTGGCTCTATCTTGCTGTTATTGTTATAAAATTTGTCTCTGCTCGGAATTATTAATCACGATTCTCATATTTCCTCTGTTTCAACATAAAGACAGACCCAGAGACTCTGTCCACCCTGCTGATCATGTGTTTTCACAATTGAACTCACGAGTTGACCTAAGCTAAACAACCCTTGAGAACCCGGAAGCACTGGGTTCGAGTCCTGTGTGTGTGATCGTGGATGTGCATGGTTAAGGAGTCCCACACTAAGAAGAAATAGTCGTCTAATGCTTCCAGGTTTTTAGTAGTGGTCTAGCGTAGATCGACTCATGATTTCAGCTGTGAAAATACTAGTCTCCATACTGATTATGTATTTGTTATGATTAGATGGTGGTTGGAGGTAGTCGACAGGAAACCCTGGACCCGGGTTTCGTGCTACTTGGCACTCGTCAGCAAGGTGTACCTGTAATCTTGAGGGAACTGGTGCTCCCTGACAGATTCGATCCCGTGTTACCCAGCTTCACAGTTGGAGACGTTACCACTGAGTTATCCGGGCCGCGACCGACCTCCTGTAGGACTAAGATGTAATCATGACTGACTGATCACTGGGTGGTGATCAATGTCATGTGTGTCAAGTCCTTATTAGTGCAGGTCGAATGCTATCGATCAAGTTGCAATGTGGCCACCAGTCTAGGTGACTCGACACTGCGTGCACTATGTTGAGATTAGATGGTGATTGAAGGTAGTCAACAGGTAACCCTAATACGGGATCGAATCCGTCAGGGAGCACCAGTTCCCTCGAGATTACAGGTACACCTTGCTGACGAGTGCCAAGTAGCACGAAACCCGGGTCCAGGGTTTCCTGTCGACTACCTTCAATCACCATCTAATCTCAACATAGTGCACGCAGTGTCGAGTCACCTAGACTGGTGGCCACATTGCAACTTGATCGATAGCATTCGACCTGCACTAATAAGGACTTGACACGCATGACATTGATCACCACCCAGTGATCAATCAATTGTGATGTATTTGTTACGCCTGAACAGTTGTTTGCCTATTTAAAAATTATGTAGTCATAGTCTACACAACCAATAAAGTTTTAGCAAATGCGATTATACGTTATCCCATGATTAACCAAATACATATATGAGTGTACAATGTTAAAAATGAGCTTCTCGAAAGTGGACTCAATTGTTAAATCAATTGTTTTATAACTAATTAGTTTAAGAATACTGTTTATTGGAAGATAGAAAGAAACCAAATATTATTCTGCCATTTTTCAGAGCTATTCAATAATCCGAATTCCCGACATTATACGAAGCCAGACCCATGTCTCGTTATGAATAATATATCATTCACCTAACGAATAGTTTTAGCAGTTACAAATTCTTATATATGTACGATAAACACAAACGAATGTAAACAAATAAGTAGACATTAAATCACAACTATCAATAACAAGTAGTTCCTGATGGAATTTTCAGTATTACTACTAGTATCACATCGATAAATTTTATCTTAAAGTTTCTATCTTGGTGAAAAATAAAAATAAATATTACAATATCATGCGAACTACAATAATTGTTTCTCATTAAGGAACTAAGTAGTTTCCCTTCTTTCTCTCTTTCTCTAATGCTTATAGGGACGTTTATCCGACAGATTTATCTAAACTAGAAAAGACGACAGCAAACAGATAAACTGGAGATGTGTTTCGTGTTGACCATTGGATTAATTCAACTGAATTATGAAATCATAGATAAATATGTATACATTGTCATTGGCTGATTTTCAATAAAACGGCGCCTAACAATAATCATAAACAACAATGCCTGAGAATTAAACTGTAACGTTTGATACCAGTTAAATATTAGACCAGATCGATAACTATATTTATACTAACGATAGTAACAACAGTGATTTAATGAGTTAAATCACAGTAGCAGAGTAAGGGAACAATTCAAAAGTGTATGAAAGAGTATCTGATCCTTTGTCCAGATTCATTAGAAATAATAAATAATTACTTTGCGTCATCTAAATGGCTGGAATCAAACTGTTCGTCATTTGTACATAAAACATTGTTAAACAACAAATACACTAATCTCTCAAGGCACGAAATTCTAATAAGTATAAACAGTTGGATCACTAAAGGAGCAGGCTGTTTTGAACCTTTGATGTTAAATCTGTTACTCAGCATGGATACCATCCAACTACTCATGTTACTAAAAGTAAATACATAATTAAGGGGGAAGAATTTATTTGTAAAATCTCAGCGAATGAATATGAAGTACATCCAATGTTTCTCCTGACAATCTGGTTCAAGTTTTTTCAAGGAAATACAATCAAACATCAAAATTATCGAACATAAATAGGTACATGGTTCTTCGGTTAACTGTACATTAAATAAGTCCTATTTTGATTGTATTTCTTTGAAAAAGCTTGGATCAGATTGCCAAGCGAAACGTTAGATTTATTTCCAATTAATTCGCTGAGATTTTACAAACACGTTCTTCCTCCTTAATGTCTTACATCAAATCGGCGCCCAAATACTGTGAAACTATTCGTTCAAATTTAGTTGAAAGTTCTTACATAAACACATAATTTATATATAATTATATATTTTAAAAATGATTTCATAATTCACACTAGCTTACAGGCATGATCGAGTTCACACAAAAGTAAAGACAACATTAAAATCAAAGGGTACAGTATCCGAACGGACGTGATTTATGGGTTACTTTTACCAAAAATGAGTGATGTTGTTGTGAATAATCTGCAGCATTAGATGAACGTAAAATGTATAATCAAACGTAACATCATTTAAAAGTACATCATTATTGACGAAATGTACATGGTAGCAGTCATAAATCTTGTAATCAAAAAGTTATGACTAATAAGTAGTGCATAATAAAGGTTGCGTGTATACGTTAAGAAAGTGGCATAACTGAAGCTTCACTTCCATTTTAGAATGCTAGATATCATATCTCTATCGTAGAGAACACACAAAACAGTTTTCTCATTCAAATTAAGCCTACCTTTTCACATCACTTTTGTCTGCAGTATTAAACTGCGGTCATTGTTATTATGTAGAGATGAAGTGTGTGAAATGATTATAAAGACATTTAATTCCTTGAAGGAAAATAAACCATCCACAATAGCAGGTCGATTGTGAGGGAGTTGTACTGTCTTAGTTGACCAGGCGGATTGTGTGGATGAAATAATAGTTATTGCGAATAATAAATCTAGAATCCAGAAATTTTAGGGTCTTTAAGACAAAAATCTTTTAGGACTTAAGAGAGAGTAGTCTCCAATACTGTCTATCATGTGGTTAGGTCATATCTTCCGAACAATAAGAATATTTGGGACTTAAAGGGAACAGTAATTTTGGAATACTCCATTTACTGGAAATACAACATTCAATCTGAAATATGTGATTCTTGAAAAAACAACGTATTATATAAACTCTATTATTGCGAAAATTAACAATCTTATCATGTCTTATATCCAAGTTTATTTTTTATTGTGGATTAAATTCAACCGGGCGAATAAAGTTCATAAATTTAAAGCCAACTCAGTTAACATTATTATCAGGTGACTAGAACGAGTAATGAACTTCAGATTTTAATTTACACTGGAGATAAAAGAATGGTGATAGGAGCAAACCACAACAACACAATACGCTTCTAATTAAAGCCTTTCTTGAACTCTGTATATTTTTCTGCGTATTTATTTGTGTATTATTTACTAAAATGAAAATGACTAGTCTTAACTGACAATCATTCCAAACGTCCTATGCATATTATGATAGACAATAATTTATCCAATCAGAACTCTTTACATTTCAAATCAATAAAAGGAAAACATATCAACTATATGATTGGTTCATTTGATACAATCGGACCATTTGATATTGTAAAAATTTACCTCACTTTATTCTGCTAATCAAGATAAGTTGAAAAGTTTTGACTAATGAAGACTATTCTATTAAAATGTGCGGAATATCATTTTATTTTTAGAATACAACCAAATGAATTAAATTTCATCTGGTCTTGTCAGTAAATAGACTATGATCATTTTTAATGTTACTGACGTAAAAGAGATAGCAATGAATTAATTTAATTGTAAAGGTTTTTACTCAAAGCAGCCTAATATTATATTCAAAATGAATGAATTCTAATATGACAGGCAAACTAATTATGGAGTCGTGATTTTTTTACATATATATATATATACATTTCTATATCCTTTCTCCCAATGGCAAATAAATATTCTGGATTTTTATTAGTGTTTATTACATACCATTTCGGTAAGTAGTGTAAAAACTATTAACAATACTCAACATTTTCATTATAAATGCAAATTTTATTAATTTTGTTACGGTTAAAGGGTTTATTGAATTCCGATTCGAGATTTATAAGCCAGTGTATGTTCGAAAGATTAATTTAATTGGAAATCAATTTAAAGTGTTTGGCACTTACATTCTGCTATTAAGAAGTGAAATTTTTATTAATCATGAGTCTTTTGAAGACAGTTACTTAGATGGATAGCAGTAATTGATTGTTACAAATTTTTGTACTACAAAACTACTGATGGAATTTATGATTTTGTGGCTTATATGCTCTCGTTGAGATATCTAATGTAATTTGAAAATCGACTCTCCAAAGTTCGAGAACTGTCCTCAGATATCATCTAAATACTTTTGAAGGATTGTCAAAATGATCAACCAGAAATTTCAGTACTTAGCACTAAACCTGATAAAAAGAAACATTGTAGACCAGCCTTTGTTCGAGTTCGCTGTTGGAATAAGTCTCCAGATATCTACCATTTTCGGTTAATCAAATGAGGGTTTATTCGACCTCAACTACTTGTCCAAACATGATTCTTTTTTATCTTTTTATATACTATATGCCCATTTCTTTTCGATCATTAGATTACAAAATGATTACTACGTATAATGGACTTTATAACCACGTTCATATAAAATCATAATCAAATGATATCTAGTGTTAGGAAAACATTACTGTTAAAGTGTTTGGTGTCCATTTTTCCTACGCTTTCAAAATTTATATTCGTGTAGTGCTTTTGAAGTCCTCATTCTCCTTGGTTTCATAAAGTTTTCCTGTTATACGTGACAATCTTTCAATCGTGATGGTGTAAGGATTGCATCGGTTACCTAATTAAAATAAAGGATTTAAACGTAATATATAGATAAAAAGAATGTTATCAGTTTTAATTATTTAAGGCATAAGTGTGTACTGCGGGTGAGGACTATTCTAAGCAATTTCACTTTATGCGGTGAATGTTATTAACTTACGTGGTAAATCAATCAAGTAAGATCAGAAAACAAGCGTTCATTATAAACTTAGGTGATTCGCATGTACCCACTGCTCCGTTGAATATGCTATTTGTTTCTTAAATTCACATTACTAATCTTATTGCTAGTTAAATATAGATGAGATTTTTAACTCTGGACATTGTTGTTTAATCTTAAAACCCTATTAACCTATAATGATTACTTTTCACCCTGAACTTGAACTACCATTGAAAAATTGTGTGCGTTGATTATAAAAACTTTTGGCTTCTGATATTTGACTCGAGTACGAACTGTATTTTGGAGCAAATAAATAAGTAAGTAGGGTGGATACGGATTTATGATGCACCAGTCGGATGGAAATGGATGATTACCGGTGATTAGATTTCTTCTAGAAAATATATCAAAGTATTAAATAGAAAAAAAAATTAATAAAATAACATTTTATAGGAAAATTACGTACATAATTGTATTGCGCATAACATTTTAAAGTTATGTCGCAATCTAATTCTAATGAGATTGCTTCAACTCCTTGTTTAAAGGTAACTAATGAAGCTGTTACGCGCGGCGTTTCGAAAACCTGTGCATTTGTATTGGGGCGTTAGCAAATAAAATTGCAAATGATGACATAAATCAGATACTTGACATTATGCACTAAACTGTTGTAGTCTTCACTACAGTTGAATTGTTATGAAAGTACGGAATGCTATTATTGTATTGGTTTTGAATAGAAGTGGTATAGTTTTCCTTTTACAAACAATTATACATTTCATATATATCTCTGACGATGTAAACTAATTAACAACATTTAATTTTCAGAAAATTCAACAATATATATTTTATATTTACAAAGAAGTTGTTCAGTTAGTAATCCCTAGTTATTATTTATTTTATTTGAACACATATATATTAGTACAAGGGTGCACTAGATACATATGCGCCACACAAATCTCATTTCATTTGTTTGAGGGCCGTGATACTGCCCGGGTGCCCAAACCGAAGCAGGTGGTTCTCCTAGGTGGACACACCCAGAGCCTTGGACCTAAAGGTCTGATCCACAGGGCAGTGGAGAATTGTAAGGAGATGCAGTCCCATGAAAGCCGGTGACCAACGATTGGTTCATACGCCATTTGTTCCCTCAGGATACTGGAGCCCATTTGCACCATTTGGTTTGGAATCAGGGTTTTCCAACTCCTCTGGGTGGACTCTCTGTGTCTACCGACCCGGTTAAAGCACTGGATATCCACTTTTCTTCCTCTCAATTTCGTAAACAACACCCCCGCCACAAGAAGGTAGTGAGTAGGACTTCCCTGGCAGAGACTATACACCCGTGGCCATGTGAGAGCATTTCGAGAGGGAGAGCGGACTCTTCCCACTCTCGGCCGTACCAGGGTATTTGGGAGGTTGCATTTTATGTAGACTTAGTATTGGTAACGGTTAAGCAAGTCATCGGTTGATATCAGAACGGATTTACATTCACGATATCGACATTATGTCAGAAAAACATCCTTCATTTTCCAGTTTTTATGATATCTACAATTTACATACTATTCACCTTATTGTTTGTATTATAAATATTATTTTCATTCTTTCTTTTGACCTCAGCTTACTTAATTGTCATTGTACTTATTCAGTATGATTGTTAATCGAAGCAAGAAACGTATTTTCCATAATTATCGATAGTTCATCATATTTGTAAAACCAAATAGTTTTTATCACTTCTAAGTAATAAAAACTATTTGGTTTTACCATCTTTAAGTCCGAATTCACCTTATGCTAACCAGAACCACAATCCAATGTTGAGAAACTTGTTTAAGTGAAATAATTTAAACGTAAACTGCACCAAAGAATATTTTACCGCCTCATAACAGACATTGAAATTAAGTTGGTGTATTTCTTCCAGTTATCTTTCGTTCTGAACTTAGGGTAAATAACTGTACAACATTTAAATACAGAAATGTCATTATACCAACCGGGTTCGATTAAATCAAATATTCTAATTCTATTACTTTGCTGCAAAAAGAAGTTCAAATAATTTAAGTGAGAAAGATCGAATTAAATGAGTGCCTTATAATGTAAAATAGAGTATAATATACCTATAACAACTTATTACGTATTTAATTTGCCAATGCTCTTTCCTGTCAAATGAAACAATTAACTATGCACTAAAAAGATAAAACTTGGTTTAATACTGACTAAAGTATTCGAAATTACAACACTCTTCATAGTTCTTTTGAAGATATCTCACGAAATGTGATTGAATGTAGAGAAAAAATGCATTCAAGTATACTTGGTAATACTATAATCCTGAAATTTTGATTAGGATTATCAACCGTTACTTTTACACCTTTTTCATGTGTAATTAAGAGGTACTATCCATTGGAGACAGGGGCCTAGATAATAAACAATTCATGTACTTTCATCACTTCTAAATAAACTATCCATTTGTCGTGAAAATCCAAACAAATCATTATGGTAGATATGCTGAATAGATAATTAGAATAACAGAATGATATTATGAAACATCTACAAGAATACCTAACCAGAGCCCGAGTTAGTGAGTGTGTAATGATCAGGTTCACTCGACTAATCCTCTCTGTTAATCCGAAGTAACAAGTGAAGTCAGAATGATAATACTGTGTTGTATGGTCGTCTGAGTTTGATGCCAATAAATATACTTTTTATATGCGAGCTCAACAAGCTACTGGAATGGAAAAACCAAAAGTAAATCGGAAGCTTTTATCAACTTACCTGAATTATATATATGTACAAATTCATTAATTAATATCGGTATGGGTCCTTTAGAAAATTAATTCAGATCTTGAATAGTCAAGTTCTTTAATCAGTATCTATCGCCTATAATTTGGTCCTGCACTGATGGTCTGATTGTTCATTCTTTGAAAAATGCCTGATATTTTGACTCATTACAACAATTAGGGTGAGGTACATTACCTTCCTCTGTTGAAAAATATGTAATACCCCGAGAATGAGTTGAACCGGATGACAAATAACTTGTAGCTCTACTCGATTTCTATTATGAACGTGGAGTATGGTTTATGAAAATTATTTTGCGATAACTTCAATGTAACAATTTCAACTAAATGATAAGCGACTTGTCTTGCTGACTAAGTTCTACCATCTTATAAAATTCAATTTCATAGAAAAATGGGTCTGCTTAAGCCCGAAAATATATTTTCCTTACAATTATAAATAATCAAGGTTTCCATTTTAAACCACTATGCAGAATATAGTGGATAAAGTAAGTTCAATGTTAAAGAAAGGGTGGTTTATGTCATTTGAGACTGGATTTATCAAGATGAATGGTTTTTGGTTTTTCAATATGATTTCAAAATCAGAGTGTGATTTAAGCTTCTCGTCAGATAAGCAATTTTTCAGTACTCGACTGATTCTATATTGCAGTAACGGTTCATAATAGCATGTCATTACTTAAATAACATGCAAACACTAGCACGCAAAGCCTAGAAATTCGAAGTCAGCAAGACCACGCATATAATACAAACATCTAACGGATATAACCAAACATTTTGACCTTACAATAATTAAGCCAAATACTTCTAACTGTTGTAGAACGAATACTGAATATTGACATGAAAACACTAATTCAACTTATACTTACTTGATTAAACCTACTGGATACAAGTTGCTAAAAAACTAAAGTGACATTGAAAGAAATATTGAATAATGTCAGTGTTCACGAGGTATGAATCAACCTTTTTTGTTGAATTATTCAACGATTTCTCACAAAGACATTTCTAGACTATGCTTAACTTTAGCTCAAATATATGCATCGATGATTCATGACCATCTATTTAACATTTGAAGTCGTTTCACTTTACACATCCAGACGTTCAGATAACAACATTTTCGGATTGTTGTTATGTAGAAACTGTTAAGAAAGTCATGGCTAGGAAGTAAAAAAGCCATTGTGATTTGCTGTTGATCGTGAAATTACGAACCGGTACTTTTGTATATAT